TTGTCTCCATGTAACGAAAAAGTCAACCTACAGGAAATATTACTCTCGAATAGAACAAGCTAGGAGTGTTGGTCTTGTGTAGATTGGAAGAGAAGAACTTTTTCTATCGATTAGTCCTATTAAAAGTTTAAATCGAAACGAAAATGGCTTCGGAATATCGTTTTCGAAAATCTCCACTAATAACTCACCTGATTAGTCAATTACTGATCAATCAAATTTCGATAACCCTGAGTCTTCTCCCTTAAATGGTGAAAATGAAAACTCCGGGTCTCTATGATGTTCCTATCAAAAATTATTCAGAAAACAGTAGAGCGCTTTATTTTTTGACAGAGGCTGCGCTGACAAGTTCTTTTCCTCTTGAATCTTCGTCTTTATGTTTTGTTTTTCTTTCTTAGATCAACAAAATCAATATTAAGTTCAACAATAAGTATGGCAGCCTATAGTTCTTTATTATCCAATGAGCGTTCGGGTACAACAAAAGCATTTATTCTTCATTATATATTTTTTCAATATCCTGAATCATTACTTAATGAAATTGTTTATCGTTTAATGCATACAGATGCTGTTATAACATTAACAAAATCCAATGATATACAACGAAAAATTTCTAGTGACGCATCAACAGTTTTAGCTGGTCGAGCTTATCATATCAATCAACGATATATATATCGTTGATATACATATATGCCATCTATTTTTCTTTATGAAACATATTCATGGATAAATGAAAATATTTTATCAAAAATTGATAGCAATGATATTAAAGATGAAATGATTATAACTATTGATATTGAACAACAAAATAATGTATCAATTGCAGCATCATTTATACCATTTTTTCATTCAAATCATTTCGATATACACTTAGCATTACCAAAAAGTCATGATAATGAACCTGAAATGATAGTGACAAAAGTGAACAAAAATGAAAATGATGATTAATTCAATATAGATGATGATGATGATGATGATGATGATGATGATAATGAACATGAAAGAGTTTTTCAACAAGTTCGTCAAAGTGCAAGACGTATTGATCAAACACATTATGAAAATATTAATAAAAGAAAATTTTCGACAGATAATGAAAGTACAAATAAAAAATCAAAAGTAAGATTTAGATTCTTTATTAATCAATCATTATGGCTTTTAGTTTAATATTTATTATTCAATTTTTTTGTAGAATAGTTTTCCAATATGAGGAGATCTCTAGAAAATCACTTTTTTCTGGTAATAAGAATAAAGAGTCAACACCCATAGTAGAAGACGAGTGAAAAAAAAATGTTCATCCTATACTCCAATGCTCCTTTTAGTTTGTATTTTCCAAGAGAAAAGAAAAACATGATGACTTTAGTGGCTAACTCTTATTTTATTGGATACCTCTACATGTCGGAAATGGATGTCTCTTGTTATGCTCTTTTCGATAGTTAAAATCTTAGATCTATCCAGCGGCAGAGGCAGCGGGTTCTATCACCCTACCATACTCGAGCTATCCGATACCGGGAGAATCAGAGTCCGATGCAGATCGCTGGTAAACACTATAGACTCATGTTTAACCTAGATGAGGTCAGAATTTTGGAATCATCTGCTTCTAACTCAATTCCAATGAAAGCATCGATCTATTTATGGTAAAAAACATTCCACAGTACTGAATGGTATGAATTTTTACTAAAACGTACTGATCAGCACCACGGAATTCAGCAACTAATTAAAGAAATATGACTTTTTATACGGATTAATCGAGACAGTTTAAGATTACACCCCTTTCTCTTTGCTGGTTTTTGAAGACGTCTAAAACCAATCAAGCTAAGATTTTTACTATAGAGAGAGCACCAAAGTAAGGAACCACGTGTTCGAGGAAAGAATTTGTGAAGTGGATTTTTGCAGTTTTGAGCTGAGAACACAGTTTTTTTTTTTTATAGGGGCGTATCCTGGTAGGTTACAACCGCCCATCAAATTTTATCCGATGCGACTGAAAATTTTATTTTTGGAGATACCTAAAATTGTATCCCAGAGATAATTTTAAGCTTTTCTAAAAATCTCACTATCTTGTTTTTTTTATGTGAGAAATACGTAAAGGCTCAATGTAGAAACCGTAGTGTTAGCTTTCGGAACCCTTTAAATTCGGATAGGAAGGTCAAAAACTAAAACAGTCGATTTTACCTTCGGAGAATACTTTCAAATATCTGTAATAAAAATTTCAGTCCGATCGGGCAAAGGTAGAGGGAGCTTGTAATGAAAGAACTACAGTCTTCAAATTTTTAAATGCATGAAATATCGAACATATAAGCGCATGTTCCATATAGAGTATTGAATAGAGATATTAACAAATTTTGATTAATATCGATATGTTTTTCGGTAACAACAAATGACAATGATATATCCATTTCTCGTACGAAATCATCTACTTCTATTCCTCAGCAATGTTCGGAATGTTCAAAATCATTTTTAAATCGAACAAGTCTTATTCATCATCGTCAACATGAACAACATCATCAAGTTAAATCTAGTAAATCAACATTACGTCCTGGTTCATCAACACAAAATCTACTTGAACGTCGTCGTCATGTTACAGATACATCATCACTTAGTTATTGTTCAATAAAATTTGTTCTTTCAAATGAATTTCTTCATGAATAATTTCAACATTTTTATATTCAAAAATCTTTATATACAATTGATAAATTACTTGAACGTTTCCCATTATATTCAGCTTTTTATGATCAAGAACAAAAAATTGAATACAAATGATAATAATTTATTATGTAATATAATTCTTAATTCTCATGAATTTGGTTTAACATTTTATCAATTATATATAAAAGTTAAATCATCAATGACATTTAGTGAATGTGTTAAACAATTAAATCATTATTTCACACGTGGAATTAAAACGAAATTGATCAATTTTTTTTTCGAAATTATCGTCATGGTAACGGTGATCATCATATTTTCTTTATGTAGTGGTCATCCATTGTTTTGACATATGTGAAGAAACGACAAAAACAATTGGTCCATTATGAATTAAAGAAAAAAAAAATGCAACTATAAAAGCATGAGAAATAGTCATTTTTCTTTCTGAAAATGTTGCCGGTTACATTGTTCGATGATTTACCTGATCTCATAATAATTGAGTTCTTCTCGTATCTGTCGTCTTTAGACATTCTTTGGGGATTTACTCGTATTAATTATCGATTGACAATGTTGATAGCTGAAAGAAAATTTTTTCATCATGTTAACTTATCACTTACAAGTTATCATCAATTTAATATTATTCTTAATCTTCTTCCAATAGACGAAATTCAATCACTTGTAATTGACAATGATGCATCTCCGTTACAATTAACTCATTGGCCTTATTTACCTCGTTTGAGAACATTACGAATTATTGGTCCATATAGTCATGATGATATTTTAATTTTTATAACACTTCATGCAACAACACTCAATCATCTTACTATCGAATCAAACGATAGAATAGTACCTGTAAGTATTGATGTCGATCGATCGTCTCTATCCATATACGCAAAAGTTTTAAATAGAAACGAAGAGAATTGAGTTATTATTCAGCTTTTTTTATTAGTTAATATTCTTTTCAAGATAAATAATTCAAATTCTCTTATTTAAGTGTACAAAATTATCGCCATAAGTTTCATGTTTTGAACTATTTTATTTTTGAATCTTAAATCAATTATGGTGTTTCTAAACATTCTCGAGATGCCAATAATCAGATCGGTTAACTTAAAAAAAAAAAAAAATTCGAACCCATCTCATCTTTCAGAAGTGCTTTATTCAGTCATTTTTGTACTTTTTTTTTCTATGAGAGCAAGCATTTAACTCATATCCAAATAGTGATTTAAATATCTAATGAACACCTTTATCAAATGCATTTCATACCGAAATGTCATAGACGATCTATGAGAGGAAGGTTTCTGCAAAATCAAATACTTTATGACAATTAACTTTGAAGATTATCAACTTAAAGATCGAGAAATTTGGGGTAAAATGATGGACTGCCGCATTTCATACGAGCTTCCTTAAAAAATTATAAGCATCGCATAAAAGACAAAAAACAACCTTGTTTTTTTTTTATCAATGCTATGATAAATTTCATTTTTTATGATCCTTATAACTTTTTAATGGAAACTTATATGAAATGCTGCTGCAACTTCTCATTTTACTCAGAATTTTATGCTCTTCAAATCTTATGTGATTTTTTAGAAAGCTTCTTATCATAGATCATCTATGAAATTTCTGTATGAGATGTATTTTTATAAAGAACTTCATTGTTTATTCAAACAACTATTTGAATTTCAATTAAATGCTTGATATCATAGAAAAGAAAAACAAAAATATATCGCTCTTCTATTTTTATCTAATACTGTGTATATAAATTTGCAGATTTTTCAAGAGAAAAATATTGTTTTATTTTTCCATAGATTATTTTAATATTAATTTGATCACGTTCAGCTTAAATATTTCTAAGAAATTAGTTTGTCTTAATCATCATGATCCATAGTTAAATGCTTTTTGTATATTATTTCTTGTTTTTGTAGGATGGTTATTCGATTGACTTTGAATATCCAAAAGGTTGCATAATGAAGCTAGTGAATAATATTATTCTTGTTCATTTACCTGAACTTCGATCGTTTGATTTAGGCATGGATTATTATTATATAGATTGGCCAATTAACACTGTACATGTTCCTCTCACCTATTTACGTATAGCATTATCTGATATCTCTTCATTGATTCGTATTATGTCGACACAACCATTGTCTAACACATTATGTCAATTACATGTTAAAATTGCTAATTGTAATTATCATCAATATTTTACTGAACCAATATCTAATCTTCTAATTAAAATGACTAACTTACATACATTGACTTTTGTTGATGGATTTTTCGCACTAACAAGAATTGAATGGACAGTTTTCGAAATATTAATATCATCCAATACGATGCCTGTACTCCGACGTGCTAATATATCTCTTTTTCTTAATGTCAATGATTTATATTGTATTGCTTCATCATCAATTTTCAATGATAATCGTCATGTTAATGTTAATTTCGCTTTCAGTTTTATCAACTGTTCTGAATATAAGCAAATGACTCAGTTTATACCACGGGGCAATCGTTTTCATCCACGGGAAATAGTTGGTGCGACACTTGTCGTTCATCACCGATATAATACGAAAGAAGTAGGATTTGATGGCGATCCTTTTGTAAGTTATTCTTTACTTATATTTATATTTGTTTGATTGCATGAAACTGAAAACTGAGACATAAAACAAAGAAACAAAACTTCTTTTCATTTTAATAATTCAATTTTCTTCATCTTAAAATAATATGATAATATTTACTTTGTTTTTCTAGTGCTATGGACTATCCTATAATCATCATATATGGTATACTCTTCCATGGGCTTTCGATGAATTTTTTCAGCAATTTCTTCCTGATAGATGCATCCTTAATATTGACGTGTTCGAATTTCCTTCTAAAAAAACCACTATAATTGGTCGATCACATCTGCATACAGTACAAGCATCAGGACGACGTGTAGCATCACCGTTATTCTCTTTACCTAATGTTATACAAGTTGATCAGATCAATACATTGCACGTATCGTATTATAATGGACGGCTTCGACTACCTTTACCTAATCTTCATCAAGTAACATTTTTGAATAGTCAAAATTGTTTGAACCACGAATCTTTATTGCCAACAACTATTCGTTCTATTCGTCTTCTGATTTTCTATTTTCATCCTAATTATCAAAAAACATACTGGCCAAATGTGTTGTATTCACTTTCAACTCTTCCAAACTTACATTCATTACGTATAATTATGTATCATGTGCCAACAACCATTCTTGACGAATCTTGTCCACTGATTGAAAAAATTGCACTTAGAGTTACCGATTTTGGCTTTTACTTTCGAGCAAAATTTGGCCTTTCAGGCGATGTCGATCCACCTATATTTGAAGTATATGCAAAATTTATTAAACATTTATGTCATCGTATTTTCCTATTGTCTCCTAATAAACAACCTTGTTATTCAATTGAAGATGATCGTTGTGGATTAACAATATGGTTTTGATTAAAAAATAAAATTGACAAAAAATATATTTCATTTCTTTTAAATATGATTTGATATGTTTTGTAATGATACTGTCGATCATTTATCTTGTTCAACTTTGTTTTACTTGATATAAAAATAAACTGTCTCATATTTCATACATGTGATGAAGAAGAAAAATATTTTATTCGCATTTAAAATATTGAATGTCTGACGAGAATAAGAATTTTTAAAACAATGCTAATTCAACTATTTCATACTTATAAAGATGTTAAGTTATGTATCATAGACGGGATCTATTCATATTATATATATTATTGGAGATCCTTATGTATCTTTCTTAATTCTTGTGGTTTTTGATGATTTCAAAAACTAATATATGAAAAAAAAAACGTTCTCAGATATTTTCTAATCGATTCATGTTTATAGTCATTTAAATAATTTCAATAAATAAATATTCATTTAAAAAAAAAATACTTGAAAGGAGTGTGAATTTTAGTCGTTGCTACATCGAAACCAACTCACATATGAAAATTATTCTATGTTGAATTAGAGTATCGCTCATCGATATAGGAAGCTTTTCTACATAAGAAGTACTCTTTAATAAATTAGCTACGTGATACAAATCGAAATGTATAACTATTACATAGAACACATTTGAGAGATAAAAAAAAAAGGCAGTTCAAGTTCAGATATGAAAATGAGTATAAGATTACCATCTGTGACTCGACGTGTGCAAGGATTGAAACAACACTCAAACTCATAATCATTAACAAACTCGAGTTTAGAGGTTTTTATTGAATAAATATAAGAGAAAACATCCTTTGTTTTTTCACTTTAGTAGTTCATATAAAAACAAAAAATTACATTTCCATATTTAGCAAAGACAATGAAAGTTGGCAGTGTTGTTATTGCATAAATGATAACAATCTAGAAAGTAAGTCAAAAAAATGTCCATGTGAGTAAATATCCTTCAGAAATGTTCTTTAGCGATGTGATCCTCCGAAAAAAAGTGTTCTCCATTATCAAAATGTCGTTTCAGTAAAATATGTATGAAAAATGCTTGATGATAATGTTAATCATCTAATTTAATTTATTACGACGAAGTATGCGATTGGGTATAGGGTAAGGAAGGAGGGGAAATCTTCGTGACCCTTCCGTTATATCTACAACTCCACCAACATCCAAAATATCTGTCGAGCTATGTTTTGATTTAAACCTTGAATCTACATGCCAGTAGCATTATGTATAAAAAAAACAAAAAACAATAATTAAGGATGAGAGACATTCTGCACGAAGTTCATTTCTCAAGGACGAAAATTCGGAAACATTTTTCAATGAGAAGAAAAAGGTAGTAGGTCATTTCGTAATGAACACTTTTTAAATGAACATTCTAGCATATATTCGCATGAACAATTCTAAAATGAATTTAAATCTTTTAGAATTGTTTTTTTCAGATTTATTTTTTTGTCATCTTAATTTCTAGTTATTCAATACTGATATAGATCAACTAAATGTATAATTATGATTATCATTACAAAAAGTATTTATCTTAACAAACAAAGTATATCGTGATTATAGAGTCTATTAGCTTAAATTGAACTAATGAAACAATTGACTCCTTCTCATATCTGCACAGATGATGAATGAACCGATGTCATTATTTATGGTATAATACAGATAAGAGCGGTATCTCATTCACATTTTCACAGAAGTAAACCAGTGTATGAATCAGCTGGTGGCTATCTACTACACGAATTAGATGAACGAACATTTGACAAATGAAAAAGATAATATTAATTTTTTATTTAGATAATTTTTCGAATCCTATTTCAGAGTCGTTCACTTGAAATCATTGATGTTGATTTAAAAATAATTCAGAGATATTTAAAAAAAACCTAGACATATTCGTTGCGACCGGATCAAACAAATAGTAAACAAATCGGATAATATTGCAATCAATTATGTAAAAATTTCAATAAAAACTAAACTATCCATCGAGATGAACTCTAGTCGATTTTATTAATTATAATTTTATCCAAAAAAAAACAAATATATATATGTAATATATTCTCGATATTCTATGTTCTACATATTATTGTGAAGGAAAAACCTTTTCTCTCATAACAATATTTGTTTAGTATACTGTTACAGAGGCCCTCGATGTAACGTGGATGAAATGTAAAATAGAAAATTTATTTTCTGTCTAACCAACCAACAAGATGCAGCGGAACGACTCTAATTTAGGGGAGGCTCAGAACTTTTCAGGTAGTAATGAAAGAATGAGATGAACAAGGAGAGACGATTTTATACCTTTTCAACTCTAACTCGTATTAAAGAGATGTCAGTTGTCCCGATATGTTTTCAATAGGGTTTATTTCGCATATATTTTTTTGTATAGGCAAACCATGTAATCTTGAAATTTCGTCAAAAGATTCGCCGTTATATTTGCGAATCTTCCGTGATTTATCTTTTTTTTTTAATATTTACTAGATACATTCAACAAACAGAATTCTTCTATTTTATAGCACAGAATACAATTCAATCATGTTAAAAAAGTATATGATCTGAAAGAGTGACCTTTCATCATCAACCAAGCATCTGCCTTTGCTTCAATTTCTTGCATTTGATGATGAAATACGTACGAGAACTTATAGAAAAATTTCGAAAGAATGATTCATAGAAGTTGCTGGATTCTTTAAGATAACTGCATTACAAGGATCTGTTGAGTTGTTCTGAAAAGTTTTTAGAAAAGCGAAAGAAAAAATGTATGAAGTATTGTTACTGTCCATTATATTGAAAGTAATTAATAGATCTCTAATATATCTATTTCTTATTAGTATTTGAACAAAAATTCTGGAAACTTCAACGTTTTTTAAAGAAACAAAATGTCTTCTAGATTAGCTTAATCGATTTCGAGCAGGATTAAATTAATGACTTACAAGATACTACAATTTTTCACTCTTCTAAGTCGACTTTGCTCCTCTATTTTAACGATGAAGCGCCTAATTGTTCATTTTTAATTCTTTAATGGCGACTTTTGAACAGGAAACAAATTACTTTGGTAGTATCATTTTACTTAGTAATGTTTTTTTGATATACTTAAGTAAAAAGCTTGACTTTAATAATTATTAAACCATTTCTGGAGCGTTTATTCTACTGCTATGGTGAAAAATTCCAGTGTCTCGTACATCTTTAGTTTTTTCTCTCTCTAAATCGATTACAGTATGCCGAGAGAACATTTTTCTCTAGATATTGTCGAGAGTTTAATGGTACATCTTTAAAAGCAATTCAAGTTTTTATCAATTTTCCGTGCAAAGATAAATGAAACACAGATATTATTTCAAATATGTTTATTAACTCCAATATAATCTGAAGTAGAAACCTTTTATACACATTTCCTTTCCGATTCTTAAAATTCATCAGAGCAAATCAACAAGATTTTTTGGATCGCTTTGTTAGAAACAACCAAAACACATTTTTAAAAAAATCAAGATTTTATCATTTGTGTATGCAAAGATATATGCAAAATAAATTATATTGATAATATCTTTGGGATATTCAATATAAACTCAGAATGAGGTCCGTAAAAGTTTCTCAAATATTGAGTCTCCTCAAGCATTCTACTTCATTTTTTATGGGAGACTTGAGCCTATCGGATACTAATTGCCTCGGCTGTCTATGGCACTATCCAACATCTAGCTGAATGTAATCTCGTTCAAAGAGTTTTCACTTACTAAATATAAGGTCAGGACGAGATTTGTAAAATCTTTACAAATATCTGAGCCTCCTCTCCCTTTTTTTAGGGTAGGCTCAAGTCTTTCCAAGCCTAATGGGTCCATCGCTTCTGACTTTACTCAATAATAAGTCATATTTTTCTAACTGCATCTTCCTCAAATTATAAGATTATTGTTTCTTTATCATTTCAAAATCTTTCAAAAGTCAAGCAGATAAGATAACAAAACTTTTAATGATAAATACAAAAATACTACGACACCATAAACGTGTTCAGTGTGTTGACTATTTCTCTGCATAAAAGAGTCGCTAGTAATAATGTGTTAAACTGTTTCAAAAAAATCCAATCATATATTTTTGTGCCATCTAACATCAAAATGAATATTACTTTCAGAGAAAAAGCAAACATCCCTTTTTTCAAACAGCGTTCTCTAATCAACCACGAGATCACGATGAGATCTGTAAATTAATCTAAAATATTTTCGGACAGATAAGAAGAATCTTTAAGTAAGTCGAGTCCTTCAGAATAGTGACGAATAGTCTTTTCCTGTAAAACCAACCTATTTTTTCTTTAAAATTAATTCATTTTCTCTTTAAATTTTTTTAAAGAGAAAATGAATTAATTTCAAAGAAAAAATAAGTTAGTTACAAAGAGAAAATAGTTTAGTAACAAGGAGAAAATAGTTCAGTGGTAAAGAGAAAATAGATTAGTTACAAAGAGAAAATAATTCGTTTTCAAAGAGAAAATGAATCAGTTACAAAGAGAAAATAGATTATTTTCTCTTTGAAATCAATTTATTTTCGTCAGCTGTATATTAGACTCTCAATGAAACAACAGGTATTTTTCGTAGAACTATTAAGAGAAACTGTTTTGCATTAGAGAAAACAACTGGTTCGCTTGTACAACACTCATTTCGCCTATCAAAATATGAAAAAACGCTACTTGTTCGAAAAATTTCCAAGGAGACAGCTAAACAAGAAGAAAAAATGTTGCGAGGGGAATTCCCTGGCTTTCACCCCCGCTAATCATACACCCTGGTTATTAGTAGAGATTCTCGAAAACGATATTCCGAAGCCATTTTCGTTTCGATTTAAACTTTTAATAGGACTAATTGATAGAAAAAGTTCTTCTCTTCCAATCTACACAAGACCAACACTCCTAGCTTGTTCTATTCGAGAGTAATATTTCCTGTAGGTTGACTTTTTCGTTACATGGAGACAAATCATGTATTTTCGAAAATATTGAGATAACAATGTCAGATCTTTTCTATCGATTAGCCCTAGTAAAAGTCTAAATCAAAGTCGGCATGGCGTCGGAATATCGTTTTCGAAGATCTTCACTAATAATTTACGTAATTGGTCAATTACTGATCAAAAGAAATTTCAATAACCCTGAGTCTTTTCTGTTGAATGGTGGAAACTGCAGGTCTCTATGATGTTCCTATCAAAAGTTATTTAGAAAATAATGGAGCACATTATATATTGAAATTAATGGTAGATATGCATTTGATCTACAGCATGTCTCAATATACTGTGACATATCTTGATAAGCTGACATTCTTTTTTATGTTGATCATTTGACGACTGTTTAGAATATTCATAAACCTATTCCAGGCATCCAAATTACGAGGAAGACTTTGGATTCTTCTCGAATATTATAACAAGGGAAACTCTTCAAATTGAAATGCGATTTTGAGTTTGAACTCTGTGCCTAATGTGGATCCTCCTCAAATATTAAAAGCTTTAGAAGGATATAAGAGTTCCTAGGCTTTCTCCTCAGAGTTATAGCGCGGTATGTCCATAAGAATTGAATGATGGAACATTACCCATAGATGGATCTACTTGTAATTTACATGTTTGGAACGTTTCAGCTGAAAACAAATGTTCCTCTCACAAGATGCTGAATTCTAAAAAAAAATATATAAGTGATCGTTGAAAACTTAATATCTCGTGAAAATATCTATGGGCAAAGTTTCGTCATTCAATTCTTATATACATACCACGCTATAACTCTGTAACGAAAGTCTAGAAAGCCTTATCCTATTCGAGTTTTTAATACCTCATTGGGATCTAACCTGTGTACACTGTCCGAACTCAAAAGCAATTTTTAAGTTGCGAAGAGTATCTCGTTAGTCTTATTTTAGAACCTCCACTCATGATATTTTTCTTCAAAAAAACAAATATGAATTCCAAAAACAAAATTTACTCAGGTTGATTAAATAATTGAAATTCTAATGATGGTTTTTCAATAATTTTATATTGTTTGAATAGTTCATCTTTGTATTCGGTAAATATTCAGTTGTACCTTGTGGAATACAATGTAAATATCCAGTACGAATAAAATTTTGAAATTTAAAAGCACTCTCAGATGATCCCTTTATCTAGCCTTTCTCTATGCTATCGCGAACAGAACGAAAAAAACTATGAGAGAAACAACAGACATAAACAGTCAGAGTGATGTGAAGGCATGTGAGTAGCATACCTGTTACCGTGTTCCCCACAGAAAGCTATGGAGAATAGAAGACGTGAAAAAAATTAATTGAAGGAAAGAAGAATAGAAAATGAGACAAATAGAGAAATGTGATATATTGTATGCCAAATAATGTAATAGAAGATGATGAATGTTTAAGTAATAAACAAAAAGAAGTTAAATCAGAATTTCAGTAGATTGAAAGATATTTGAGTTGTCGGTATTAATAGCTTCCTCACGACTTATTGTTTTGACATAATGCTCATTTTCTTTCAAATAAATTGAAAAAACCTAAACACACTTCAATTAAAACAAGCGAACCAAATATATTTTTTTAAAACCATCCCGTTTCCCTAACGTACGGTAGCGTACCGATGATTTCTTTTCTTATTCGAGAGGGATTCATTGAAAGAGAAAAGAGATGAAGACAGAAATAAAAGAACTAAAGAATGTAAAACGTGGCATAAGAGCAGAAAAGCCAGGACAACAATACATAGGAACTAGAGTACTGCGGGACAGTCCCAAAAAATCCCGTTTGTCCCACGAGACAGGACAAACGGGATTGTCCCAAAAATTTTTCGGAAGGGGACAATATAGAAAAAAACTATGTCCCAAACTTTTTTATTCATATATGAAAACGTGTCGTATACTTGAATGTTTTTATTTCTAATAGATATGTCAATATTTTAACCAAATAACAAAAAAAAGGAAAAAAATAAGAAGCATTGAGAGACTTGTCTAAAGCTTGTTCATCATCATTTTCTTCATCACTTGTTGTTTCATTGACATCCTGATATTCTGTCATTAATTTGATTTTTTTATTTGGCATTGTTGATGATGTTGAGTCGGTTGAAATTAAACTACTTTTTCTTTTTGTAGATTGTTCGATTGCTAGAGGATAAATTTCTTTTAATGCTCGAAGATTTCGTTTAATAAATAATAAATTATTTACTTTATCAGCATCTAAACGTCTTCGTCGATTAGTAACAGTATTGCCACTGTGAGAAAACAAACGTTCTACTGAGGTGTTCGTTGCAGGAATTGATAAAATACGTTTGGCTATTTGAGCTAAATTAGGATACAACGACTTGTTTGAATTCCAATAAGATAAAACGTTCGTATTATTATCAATTCTTGTTACATCTTCTAAATATAAATCAAGTTCTGTTTTTTCCATCGGTTGTGTTTGTAAATAATTTTCATCATTAGATGCATCAAATATTTCATCTAATGAATTTATTAAATGTATGTTTTTTTTTCATTTTCTTTTTTTCTTTATTATTATTTAATGCTGTTTTTTGAAGTGGATGCATATCAAGCGAATCCATTAGTTTATTAGAATTCCAATTTAAGTAATTCAATAGCATGTTCTTTTTTACTTGGTATAAGATAAAAGCTTTTCAAATTCGGGTGCAATAGCATTGCGACATAGTGTATCTCTTGAATTATCCAATAATCTTTCAAATGTTCCGATAAATAACGTTTTAATTGAATTAAATTTTGATGAGCATCATCATTTTCTGACGATCTATTAATTAACAACTGTTTATATGGAATCACTAAATGTAAGATTGGAGTTTGTTCACAACATAGTTTTTCTAAAACATCATGAAAATGTTTTAAATATTTTGTTGGTTGTTCTAATTCAATATAATTAATTTTTAAAAATTTTTGTCGTTGATTGTTATTTAAAACAGATGTTAATTCATTATAAATCATAAGAAACGTGTTTAACATTATATAAACCGTGCTAAAACGTATTTTACAATAATTTTGAACACATACAGATAATGATGATTGTTTATGACTTTGACGAATATAACTAATTATATCCCGTACAATTAAAAATAATTTTTGAACACCGGTACAAAGTGATTCATCTAATTCAAATGCATGTTCAAGAGCTTTATTAATGTAATGGGCGCTACATCCAACTCTTGTTGCATCATCTTTGAATACGCAAACCATTTTCGGTTCGTTATCCGATACAACGAAAATTTCTTCATTCAGTTTAAGGCTAAATTCTTCTAATGTTGTATTTACAAAATCACGAATATTATATGCTTTTTGGTTTGGAAGATCATACAACTTGCAGGCTAATATAAATATTCGTAAATAAAAATCACTATTAACAAAATGTAGACTAATTCCACCATAATGTAAACCTGTAATAAATAAGAAAACAGAAAACAATTGTTAATCAATGAATATGGGAGTATTAATGCAATGTTATATTTTTCAAAAGTAAGTAAATTTTCATTATCGGAAAATAAAAAATGATTAAAAAGTTTGAATTTTTAAATTTAAATAACTATAACTTCGAAATTTAATCATAACAAACAATGATAAATACTATTGAAATTTTTCCAGAAATGTGGCTCATTTATTTATATTCTAAAAATCTTCGATTTGTCATTCACCTATTTATATATTTTTCATGTGACTATAGATGTTTTTCTTTTTTTTTCGAAGATCATGTCCACAAAATGATCATTTTACTAGAACTCTTTAATACATATGAATACATGCCGGTATATGGTTCAGTCCAAAAATCGCACGTAAGTGCAAAGTGCTGCACGTTCTGACATAACAGAATTAATTGGTCTTTAAGTCTGGCATAAACACGATCGACATTACGTGAAACCTATGAAAGAACAATGAATATAAGTTAGATAAAAAAGCTCATACTTACAGTTGTTGAATGTGGTAATAAATCGTTAACCGAGAATCCTGTTCCAATTGAAGCACCAGCATTCATCAGCTGCTTTGCCAAGTTAATAAAACCTTCACCGGTTACTGTATCAAATGGTTTACCATCAAGCGCAAAAAATTCAACGCACGCTTCAACAATCCGTTCTTTAATTGATGAATAATTATCAGGAGCTGGTGGCATATAAGATGACATAGTACGTTGACGTGAAGGTGTTGTTGATGTTTTTTATGCTGATTTGTTGTCACAATTATGATTCTTCATCACTTTTGTACCTGTTTCATTGCTCCACTTCAATACAGTACGACACGTATTACAAACAATATAATTTTGTGGAATATTTAAATGATGCAATTGAGAAAATTTTGACCACAATTCAGATCGTGTATTGGAAGGTTTTATAAGTGAAATTGATGGATCATTATTATTTACCAATTTCTGGTAATCATGTTTAGAAAATGTCGGTTTATCAATAGTTGACGACATTTTTATTATAATATAAAAAATGTAGGGAATCGTGTATTTGAAACAGACTAAGAATGAGTGTTAGCACTGGTTATTCAGTTTATTATCAAAAACAATGAAGAAGTATGTATTTATATGTGGATAGGATCATGTCATACGTTGAACAATAGTACAAAGAAGGATGATCACGCCAATCGTTGAACAATAGTACAAAGAACGATAGTCACGCCCGGACGTTGAGCAATAGTATAAAGAATGATAATCACGCCATATGTAGAGAAGAAGATTATTGGAAGATGACATGATCATTAAGTGTTACCTCGATAACAATGAGAACTAAAAAGAAATCTTCAGTCTATTATTTATTTTTTTACTTTTGTTTTTCGGAAAATCATTCAATGAAGCGTTGATTCATTTTACCAACCATGTAAGCGCATGTGTTTTTCCTATTGATGGTACAGAAAGTGCGTGTTATTCTCTTCGGCAAAGTGATATCTTTATAATTTTTCCGGACGGGACAAACGGGATTCGGGACAATTTGAAATTTTTCGGGACGGGACAAACGGGATTTCGGAACACGACAAAGCTTGTCCCGCAGACCTCTAAATGTAGCACTTTCTATGATTGAAAGATTTTCTTAGATGTCTTCATTGCCAGATTGTTATAAGCATCATTTTCAACAATAGAATGATTTGATTACTTTATGCAAATCATTTAATTATATTTCGCTAACCAATCTTTTGTTTCGTAGGATATTTTCAGGTTTTTTTTCGGAGATCGTTCGTTTTTTTTAATTTGTTTCCATTCATTATTCAGCAATTCACATGCACATAAAAGGCAATACGATCACATACTTTAACAAAGAAATCTTAAATTTCTTACTTCTGTTCCCGACGTGTAATGACAAATCAAGAATGTATATCGAAACCATTCATGATTTGATCATTTATTAGATTACTTTTTTCATAAGATACAAATCTATCTATCTGGTATTCTTTATTTGTTTTAAATGTGTTAGTATTTTCCATCTAATATGATCGCTTTATTAGGAGCATTGTCACTGTGCTTGAAATCTTTCACCTCGGCGTCTGGTACATTTTCAAAATTTTTTAAATTTTTATTTAGAAAATTTAGTCAAGTGATCAGTCGAGCTGATCCCTCTCCGCCAAGTGATCAAACGTAATTTTTTCCAGACTTTCCTCCCTCTCCCCTAGTGGCCACATGATTTCCAAAGATTCTCTAATCCAAAAACAGTGCAGCTTAGTGATCTGGTTAGTACTAGTCGATGTGAAGGAACAAAACCTATTCAATGTCGTTCAAAAAGTAAAATAACTGGTTAAAGTAAACGAGCATCAAAGCAAGATACGTCTTCTAATAAAGGTGAACAAACGAAAACAAATTCGAAAACAATTCAATCTACATAATTCAATGAAAAAGAATCCGAACCATCCATATCATTAATAAATTCTAATCTATTATCTTCTATAGAACAACCAGTCCCAATACCGGCAAATAAGAAACGTCTTTCTATAAGAGATATTCTACACCTATACCCTTATAACCATATACTTAGGACTGCATACTTATAACTATATTCTGCATGTATATCCTTATGACTATAATAAGATAGCTTTGTTTTTAGCAATGACTTTTCTTGATGATTTCGCAAAAAAATAACGTTTATCGTGAACAGCAGTAAAGAACTAATCCCCAAACAGGAATTAATATTTCTTACTGCATTTGTAGTAATCAAGTTGAGCAATTCTCATTTCTTCTTCGCTATTATATGATCAATTATGTTCAAATGATTCCAATTTATATTCGTTTCAAAACCGACAAAATGAAAAATACAAAATATATAAAAGCATGAAATAACGTAACTTTGTATTTTCTTTTAAAGATTAGATTTATTCAGAGACAAAAAAACAAGAATCAACTCACGTCTATCTATTGGATCATAATGAGCAAATGAAAGATAGCATGGAGTATTTTTATTATTCGTATGTAATGTAACAGTCGATAACACATTTGTATCATTTGGAGATGTTTCATCAAAATAATTAGTACCATCTTTTTTCTTAGTATTTGATGTTGAATAAACACTTGATAGAGTAAAAACATTAGTTGTTTCTGTTTTTTCATCATATTTCCACTAAAATATAAAAATCAAATAGAAGACTCATATTATAATAATACAATAACTTACATGAAAGACAAGATTATCATCTTGTTTTCGAGCTTGTTCAAGACACGTTATTTGAAGAAATTGTTGTCGTCTTCGAATAAATATCTAATTAATATTATTTCATTTCATTTCACTAAGATTTTTCAAAGTTAAACCATACTTTGCTACAAAATTTTGAATATCAGAATTCGAATCATATAAAATTGAATGAATAAATGAATTTGTATCTGATAAAGGAATATCAATAGTAGTAAAAACTTTTAATAAATGACATAAATCTTTTTCTAAAGATTGTAATAAATATATTCAATATAAATAAACAAATCAATTAAAGATGAACCTGTTAAATGATGTTGAGAAGAATAAATTGAACGAAAATGAGTTAGATAACTACGAACCGATGATTCAACAAGAAGCACTTCATCTTCTTTTGTTGAACAATTTTTTTCATCTGATAAAATTATTTTTCGAAATAAACGTTCAAGTATTGCGAATAGATCATTATTTATTGATTATGATGGATCAGCTATATGTTTAACTAGGTGTAATGGATCAGTACTCTAAATATAAAATAAAATAAATACAAAATAAGAAAACATAGTTTACTTGTTTTATATAATTAATCAATATTTGTTCATGTTCATGTTCATATTGAATATAATTTCTATAATCAATCACATTCATTTGATTTGTATCAAAACAATGTTTTAAATCAGTATAAAAATCATTTCCAATAAAACTATTTAATTAGAAACAAAAACGAAAAAAACAGTTAAAAATAAAAATATTTAAATATAAATTAG